CTTAGGACCAGGGACATAGGCCTTTGAGAACGTCGACGAAGACGACGAGTTCAAATGTGATTGCGGCTTCGAATGCGAAGACCGTGTTCATGTAGTCGCGGAATGTCCGTTGTACAAGAAGGAGAGGGAAGTGTACGTGACTGAGCTGGGAAAAATAGATGGAACGTACAGGGAGATGTTTGAGGCATGGAATAGAGAGGAAAGGACGGTAGCTGTAGTGGGGCATAGGAGGTGGGTTGAAAAGGCGGGAAGGGATATCGTTAGGATAGACAGACTAGGAAAGACATTTTTAAGCCACCTTTGGCAAAGTAGAAAGGAACGATTGGCCATCGGTGATCGGTCCTGTGGGAACAATGCTCCGTCCTCTCGAGGACGCGTGGTCAATGGTCTAACCGCTAAGGCATGCAAAACAGAAGAGTACGCCCCACCCCCCCACCCCGCATGGAATCCAGCTTCAGTTGCGTCAAACATGGATGGCGTCTCAATTTTTTGGCTTGTCTCCCACAGGTTGGTTGCCGAGATACCCACCTGGACGCCACCAAGGACGCTTTGCCGAGGCGTATGCATACGTCGAGGACACGCGCCGGCCGTCCGGACTGGGTGGTGACTAGCCCACCGTACAACAATCCATCATATAATTTGAAACAGGCGTTGCGGGTCGGGCGCATGGGAGCGGCATTCAAGCTGAGGCTGACTTTTCTGGAACCTGTCAAAAGCAGAGGGCGGTGGCTACAGGATAACCCTCCTGACAGGATTGTGATGTTCCCGGGTGCTGCCTACAGCGGGAGGAAGAGTAGCTCTACGGAGGCGTGGTTTGTGTGGGAGACAAGCGGGGGGCAGAAAGAGCACGTCAGACCTGCGTTTTGCTTTTCCTTGCCTGCATAAGGTCTTTGACACGTCCTTGGGATTCGAGGTTGCATCGTTTTTGCGTTTATTGTGTTTATCACCTGTGGTATATAGAGTGAGACGCCAGAACGATTCTCGTCGAGTTTTGGTCCATTTAGCGCAAATGAAACCGTATTGTGCGAGAAAGAAGTCACCTGCGCCGGACTTTGATAAACTTCCCGAGATTTTCTTAGGACGCCAGATTCCGTTGCCCGAGCTAGATCACCCCGAAGAAGCTCAGCCGAAAATTGAGTCCTACGTTGTTGACAAGAGTGGTAAGTCACAAGAGTGGAAAGTCACAAGAATTGTAAGTCACTTGAGTGGTAAGTCACAAGAGTGGTAAGTTACAAGAGTGGTAAATCACAAGAGTGGTAAATCACAAGATAGGGGGCTGAAAACCCCGTACAAGTACAAGCATCGTTCGCGTCTTCCAGGAAACGGCCCCGAGTCCGACCTTGTATACGGAGCAGACGAAACTCCACAATATCAAGAAATGATGACTGCATACCGAATCCGTTGTGGTTTGGACATCGGGCTCCCTGATAAATCTTGTCTCGTACCCCAGTTGAAGGGGGAGATCCAAAATCACCCAGTACAACCAGGACACGAAAACCAAAACAGGCAACGAACGCTCCTGAAGAACCTAAACCTTGAGTCACCTAACAAAACCAACATACGACGGAGAACTCCTCAAAGGAGTCCACATTTACCCCAGCCGCGTTCTGCTATGAAGCAAGGTGATGGTACATTACCCTGCCGTACTAGCAAACGAAAGCGAACAAGGGCCCGAAAATGAAATGATTGATTTTTTTAAACCGTTCTAGCAGTTACCATATCTATTTCTTAGACTTGAGGGAAATTTTACTCCTATTATTCTATCTTGATTTTTAACACAGGACCAGTAGCCACGGTGATAGGTTGGGCCCTTTGGAAACAACCTATTTGATCAGTGTTTGGATAAACACTGACGAGGAGAATCGAATTAAAGCACCGCTATCCCAGGCTCTCATTCAAGGTGTATAGGCAGACTTGCCAGAGGTTCCACCTCATGACAAGTCTACCGCTCATCATCCCCGCACATGGCATGCCACGCGATCATGACCATGAAAACATTTTAGTATCTTAACTGTCACCATGATAGCCCAGTACCAACCATTTTTTGTTCTAGATACACTAGTGTGGACCACATTCATCACCCTGTCTGAGGACTCTGTGTTCCTCAACACGCGTGGTACGATGATCAAATCTTGGTGATGGTGTTGTGCAAACTAGGTTAATTCCGATACATGTGTCTCCATGAGCCACTACTGTCTCGAGACACCAAAAGCACATCTT